GGTCCGACTCCCAAAAACTATTGCATATAAATAATTTGGAATTATGGGCTATATTTTACGGCATCCAGTGTTATGCAAAACTTTTAAAAAATTGCAATATTCTAATTCGATGCGACAATACAACAGCCGTTTCTTACATTAACAGAATGGGGAGTGTTCGGTTTCCAGAGCTATGTTCTCTGACTAAACAAATTTGGCAATGGTGTGAGGAAAGAAATCTCTGGCTTTTTGCATCATACATCCCATCTAAAGATAACGCTATAGCAGACGATGAGTCCAGGAGCTTGAATTTTGAAACGGAATGGTCATTATCTCAAACTGCCTTCGACCATTTAACCGACATCTTCGGAAAACCAGAGATCGATCTTTTTGCCTCTCATACCAATGCGAAATGCGAGGTATACGCTTCCTGGCATAGAGATCCAGGATCTACATATATCGATGCGTTTACAATTCGCTGGAACAGTTTTTATTTTTATGCATTCCCCCCTTTTACCTTAATTCTCCGAGTTTTACAAAAAATAATTCAGGATAAGGCTGTCGGAATTTTGGTGGTTCCTTGGTGGCCTTCACAACCTTGGTACCCACTTTTCCGTCAGTTATTGATCGACCAAGAAATTCATTTTCCCCCTTCACCTGATTTACTATCTTGTGCGGTTTCCAGGTCACATCCGCTGTCGAAAACCCTTACCCTGGTAGCAGTGAAGTTATCAGGCAAGCGTTTTTGAGTAGAGAGGTGCCGGAATCTGCCATTTCTACAATCATCGCCTCAGTCTCCAGATCCACATTGCAGCAATATAACAGCTCCTACAAATTGTGGTGGGAATTTTGCTTTAGTAATGACATTTCGATCTTTAAACCCACAATCAAAGACGTGGTGTCATTCTTGCAAGAGTTGACAAAGAAGAAAAACCTCACGTCTGGCACTTTTAATTCTCATACATCTGCTCTTTCACTAATTTGCTCAACTGATTTAGCATCCAATCCTATAATTAGACGCTTCAAAAAAGGCATTCATCGTTTACGGCCTTCTCGGCCAAAATATTCGGCCACCTGGGATCCTATACCTCTCCTAAGTTATCTAGAAAAGTTACCATCTCCACTTAGCCTCCAAAGTCTGTCACAAAAATTGACAACGTTATTAGCTCTAATAACAGGAGAAAGACTCCAGACAATTTCTCTTATTCGTCTTTCACATACCTCCCATGGTCCCAGCGAAACTACCATTAATATTTCAGACCCAATTAAAACCAGTCGAATTGGGAAACCTCAACCAACCTTGCATATACCGGTTTTTCAACAAAACCCTTTCCTGTGCGTAGCCACCATCCTGAAGGAATATATTGACAGAACAGCTAGCTTGAGAGAACCCGACAACGATTTTCTATTCGTGACATATAAAAAACCACATACCAGGGCGTCCAAAGACACTTTAAGCAGATGGGTAAAACAGACTCTTGCATCGGCGGGTGTCAACACAACACTTTTTACGCCTCATTCAGTCAGGCATGCGGCTACCTCAACGGCGTTAAGAAAAGGCGTTTCCGTAGATAGTATATGTAAAACAGTTGGTTGGACGCAACATTCCACATTTGCAAAGTTTTATAATCGTCCTTTACAAACCAACAATGAGTTTGCAAATGCCATTTTGGACATAAATGCCTGATTAGTTAGAACAGTTTAAGAGTTTGTGACGTACTTTAGGTACTCTAGTTGTTTTTTGAAAAAATATTACTATTAGGGTAAATGTTAAAAATTGACCCCTTGTTTTTTGCTTTTGGTTATGAGAATGCAGAATATATGTTTTTGCCTTTTTGTGCTTGTATACTTGTATTTTTTATATCATCAACTCGCTCGCAACTCTATCTCATCTTTAAACATCTACATAGTGAATAAACAAAGTGATGTCTTCGGACTGGACCCAAAGTATAATTGATCGATCAAACGAACTTACCTGAAGTGAAGTTCGATCGTAATTATACGAGGGTCCAGTCCGAAGACATCACCCCCACCCTATATGCAACCCTCCCAAGTTGCGAGCAAGTACCATTTCTTTAAACAAATGATTCAACGCGAGTGGCCAGGGCGCGGCGAGGAGGTGGGGATTCTCGTCTTTCAACTTGGTGCGCGGATCGTACTCCAGGGGCGGACTACATAGTGAATAAACAAAGTGATGTCTTCGGACTGGACCCTCGTATAATTACGATCGAACTTCACTTCAGGTAAGTTCGTTTGATCGATCAATTATGGAAACGATATAATCATGTGCGTCAAAAATACATAAATTGATGACGTGAGGCTCATTTTACACAAAGATGGAAGAAACTATACTCCATTCGTAGTCATTTTACGCCCAGACAAAACACAACAGGCCCAACAGCGAGATTGTACAGGTCCGTATTTTCTTCAAGAAGTGCACATACTTTTCACAATTCTTCATTTGTTGAAAGTACTTGAATCATCGTCCGAATGGTTAATATTAACAATTACAGGTTCAATTAGAATATCGATCATATTTTCCAGATCCCACAACATTGCGATTATACAATGCGCTCATCTCTGCTGCTTTACCGGTACATACGGTCCCTTTTGTAGAAATTTTCTATGACCATTTTGAATAAATGATGAGGCTGAATCTTGTTGAGACAACGCATAACCTCAACCTTCGCCTGTGGGTTCAACAACTACAAGAAAAGGTATCCAACTATGTCAAATCATATGATCTAGGGGACCAATTCTGTAACGCATTCCTGACATCTGAATTTGCAAACTAACTTCAAACATGTTTGTTTTTGACGACACATGTTGGAGGTTTATTGATTGCACAGAAACCTAGATATAATACCACCCACTATAGTCCTATTTTTATCCACATCACTCCAATGACGACCATATTTTCACGTCAATAGAATGAAAAATATCATAAATTACGCATACTTGCGTTCTAGTTATTTCTTTTTCAGTTTAATAACAAAGTAAAAAATAATCGATTTTTGCGGCACACCTGCTATGTTCATCAAACATTTACTCCCCATATGCATTACTAACTAGTCATAATCGATCGCTCACATCAATCCTACCCACGCTGCAAGCAAGGTACATCTTCTTGCGTGCACAGTTATAGAATTTTCAATTCATTATACATTGCGGCATTTATCAGTTTTGGTTGACTGACGATGATATCTAGGACCTAAGCATCAAATGTGAAGGTGCAATGCTTCCATGTCAATATGAATTGATGCAAGCTTAACATTAAGGTGGCAAGAATGCTAGGGATAATGAAATATTGATTATTGTGTGAGACCCAAACAGACAGCTGGTTGGATGTAACTTCAGGAATGAAGAAAATAAAGCAGCTTCCATTACTATTAGGTTGTTCGGAAAATTTTTGCGATTTTTGTTATCTGTATTTTGAATGATGTATCTTACGCTAAAATTTCTTAATGATTCTTTGATTCTATATATTATTTTAAAGCGCGTTTTTCGCTCTATCTAGTCGTTGTATTGCTACCTGCCCTGGTACCTCAAGCCTGTGAGTAAATACAAAGAAAGCAAGCAATTTTGCGGAATCTTAGATGAAAAACAAAGAGCAATCGTGGGCATGTCTGCAATAAAGCAACATGAGTAGAATTAGAAGGATTGGTAACACGAGCGACGTATAGTACGTTTCTGCTTATTAGCTTCATCATGCGTGCTGGCTCTTGATGGTGGCTCCTAGTTGTATCTCTGTTTCGATCATTGTCTTCCTTCAGGTTACACCCCTATCTAGGTGTAATGGGCTTACGTCTTCTTCGTTTTCTTAGAAATAAATATATATTGTCACAAAGTACAGATAAATCCTATGTGTCTTCCACAACAAACATAAAGTGTCCAAAAAAGTTTGCTTGGATTTGTCAAAACTAAAATTACAATGAATGACTTAACAACGTAAATACTATTTAATTTGGTGAATTGAATAAGGCGAGGACGTCAGGCAAAATATCCACAATTCACAGTTAAAACAGTAAAAGTATTTTTTAGTATATTTATAATAGTAGGGTAATTCGAGGATAGATGGCGCAGAAGGTGAGATGGCTCAGTGGTTTTACAGCGCCACCGCTAATGTTATAGGGGAGCAGCTGCACTCTGATGTACTTTAGTCTGTATCAGGCAAGCCGCCGCACCGTTTGTGTTCATCGGCTAAATATCTACTTAAATATTAATTTATACGTGATCCGGATAGTACAAAAATATTTTTCCGAATTGCTTCTTCGTGCTAGTGAACTTCAAATTTAATAATAATTTTAGTCGCAATATTGTGCCAGGTAAGTAAAAATGTTCAAGTTTTGTTATATAAGCTAAAAATTACGCATATTTCAAGACGTGTTTAGATTTTGAGGTGCGCCATCTCTCCTCTCACAACGAGGATAGATGGTTCACTTATTTTTGAGGTGAGATGGCTTATTAATAATTCCTTTTCTTTTAAGTATGCCTGCCAAATACACGCGCACTGGAAGTTGTTCCAGGGCTAGTGGGACCGAACAACAGCTAGCCGAAGCCATTCAAGCCGTTAATGAAAATAGGATGGGAGTTAATTAGTCTGGTCGAAATTTTGAGGTACCGGCAACCACACTACGAAGAAGAAAATTGAGAGAAAATGTGACCCTCTTCCACGTTAGGCGAAGCTGCTGAAGAAAAGTTGACCAAACATATCCTAAAACTTCAAAAAAAAAACGGATTTTCTCCTACTCGAACCGATGTGCGAAGTATGGCTTTCAAATTTTCCGAACAGCTGGGCATTAAACATAATTTCAATAAGGAATTAAGATTAGCTGGTTTTCCATGGCTGCAGTCGTTTCTGCAGAGAATCCCAAGGCTGTCATTAAGAAAAGCAGAAGGGGTCTCCATTAATCGATCCCTGGGTATGAACAAAATAGACGTTGAGGTTTACTTTCAGCTACTAGAAAATACTCTGATCGAGAACGATCTTATGAATTAACCTGGACATATCTACAATATGGATGAGACGGAAGACCAGAAAATTAAAACCGGTTTTGAAGAATCCAAAAGTGACTAAAAAGAAAACAAGGAAAGCTGCCAAAAGCGATTCATCCTCAGATGAAGGACTAGAGGCACCAACATTGGATGACTCTTTAGATGATATGGACGACGATGACCAGACTTACATCGGTTGTGACGAAATATATTCCCAAACCACAAAGTCTGACTACTGGGTTAATTGCATACGTTGCTCCAAATGGTTTCACGATTCGTACTCCAAGTTTGTCAACTTTTGCCACGACTGTGGTGTTGTTATATGCAAAACAAAGTGACATTTTGGTAGAAGCACCTTTTTTTTGTTGCGCCATCTCACCTCAGCACTGTGGGGGAGATGGTTTTTGTCAACTATTTTTCTTTTTCTTGTAAATTATAAGTTTTATCTTTTAATGCATTTTATTACTTAATACATGTTTCTAAACTCAATAAAGACTCGTTAAAAGAATTAACAGTCAGTCTAATTCAACATATAGAAATTTTAACATGAAATTTCAAAACCTGGGCCATCTATCCTCGAATTACCCTATCTGTATGAAGAATGCTTGTGATAAGTAAAGTATGACTGATTTTTATATTGGCTTTTCATGGTTGGAGCACCGTGATTCTTGAAAAAACAATTTCTTGAGTTCTTTTTTATATAATCTAATTGATTTAATATTGCTTTTAATGACTCCGATAGAATTTTGTTCAGAATAAAAAAAAGATCTTTGAGTAACGTTTTGTGATGTTTGTGGAATACTCACTGATTTTTGATTCAATTTTGTTCTGTAGTAAGTTATGAATATTCGATGTACTGAGTGACAAAATAATCTAAGCACCTATTATGTTTATCCGATTTTAATAACTTTTGTAATATTTATTTTCAGTGTCCCTTACTAGTAAAACGATTAAATTGACTGCAGAAGCTGGTTCAATAATGTGTTGAGGATCCACGATTTCTTATACACTCACTGGCACGCCTGGGCATAAGTTGGTCGATATCCTGTTGGGGTATCTCATACCAGGCTTCTGCAAATTCGTGGGATAGAGCTACTAAAGCCTGTGGAAGGTGTTGCAAATTCAAGAGCCTGCGACCTATCATATTCTAATCATGCTCAATTGGGGATAGGTCAGACGATCGCGGTGGCCGGTAAACGGTTGATGCGATGTTGAAGGCTAACCATATTCAACTGTGAGGGGTAGCACCCAATGTGGGCGATAAGAAAAAAGGCCAAACTGTCGTATTCGGCGATATACCGTACGCATACCAACTATCCTTCCATGCTCTTCATACCACTGATTAGTGATGGCTCGAGTACTACTGAATCTGTCTCGCAGAGCCAGAAATCTTAACCGGCGGTCTTGTCGCTCCTCGCTCGCTGTCTTCGGCCTTCCTGAGTCCACGCTCGTTCACATTGCAGTATACTGCGTTAGGATCTGTTGGTTCTGCTAGAAACTTCTCTTATCGATAGACAGGCTTCACGCAACCCCCCAATTTCCGCTCAAAGTCACTTAGCTGGGTCACCCGGCGAATTCCTTCACACTCTAGACATTATGAACAATCTCAAAAAGGCTTCTCAATAAGCTAGACAAAGCTTAACATTTAACTGATACCGCAAATGTAAAAACACTGAATGCTTCTTTATCACCAAGCAATAGACGCAGCCACCACAAAGACTTAACAGAAAAAGCTGACCACTTTATCACTTGTTGCTCATGGCAAGGTAACTCGATATGTAAAAAATTCTTGGATTCTAATAAATATACGTAGGTGTTTACCTTTGTTTGTCACTCAGCATATAATGTACTACACCACTGTAAAAATAAATTTGTCTGGAATCTAATACACAAGCCTCCATTTGTGTTTTAGATGCATATTAATTTGGGCCTAATGAAGCCAACAAGCAGCTCGGGTTACCAAGCCTCCTATTTCTACTCATGTTCCTTTATTGCGAACATGCCCATGATTTGCGTTTAGAATTTTTCACAGCTGCTGATCTATTAAGGGCCAATTTCACCAACATTAATATTTAACGGTCTCTTGGACCAATGGGAAAATACCTTATCGAAATGCAATTTGACGGAAGCTGTCAAAGATCTCTGAATATCAGTGGTTTCTATTGAAATATAAAGTCGTGAAAAAACGGTTGCCTTATAAATAAGTGTACATTATAGATGTAATATTATATCTTTGTGCTTTATAATTAGGTTAACTTTCATAGAATTTAAAAATTTCAGAAAAGACGGTCAGTTATTTAAATGGACCAATGAAAATTAGAGAAATAATAGGTCGATTTTCTAGCTATTATATTTGATAGGATGTTTTCACTGTTTTTGACGACTGTTACGCATGGCAGTCTAGTTTTGTCTGTACTTCACGTACAGGGTGTTGTACATAATACGTACCTGTAGAAATGTACCGATTTTTGTTACTTTGCAAAAAAAAGGATGTAAAACATATCCCAGCTGGTTGTACATAATACGTACCTGTAGAAATGTACTGATTTTTGTTACTTTGCAAAAAAAAGGATGTAAAACATATCCCAGCTGGTTGATCGTCTTTTGTTACATCAAAAACATTTTCTGCCAACTTATGATCTAGAAATCCACCAAATGTAAACAAACAGCACATTCTGCATTTATGGATCCCAAAACGTCGATATTTGTAGAAGTATCCGCATCCACCTATTACTCATCGTCTTGATATGTCAAAACCAAAAATACATATTTATGAAAATATATCTCCAAACATTGTTATATTTTGTTATTATTTCTATTATTATAACACGTCTGGGATATCAATTGCTTTTAAAATTATCTGCACATCCGTAGTGTTGCCGAACCGGCAAAAAAACGGAATCAGTAAATAATGTCGGTGAATTCGGTATAAGGTAAATACCGTCCCAAGATCAGTGGTAGATCAAGGACCTTTGAGTCATGAAAAACGTCTATTATTTTTGAGGGCATGGTTCTGTAATACAACTAGTATAATGTGCAAACTGGATGCTCTATCGAAGTACTTTGCAACCATTTTGGAAACTCCTTTTTCGATTCTTGCTTAAGGGATTGTGAATATTTTTCTGTTTTACCCCTGAACTCACCTCTCATTTTAATTAGATATTTATTTTGAAAACAGACATGTTTCGGTTTCTTTATTGCTTGTCCGGTGATGAGGTAATGACGGTAATCTACCAGTCTGTACCTTTTGTATAGACAAAAATCAATTCAGGGCAAGCGGAGTAAGGGATCAGGATGTTCGTTCGTAATCATAGGCAACCCAAATCTACGCCTCTCATGTGCCCGATTGTCTGAGTGTGTATGCATACGTATGATTGATATGGGGTATAAAACTACGAAGACTACATAAAATTAACTTTTAGCTTTATTTTTTGTTTCAGCTCTTCTTCGGTAAGTATAGAAATATTGATATTATTTTGGAAAATCGTGGAGAATGATATTATCGGTAAATATTCTCTTTTCGGTAAAAATACCGAAAAATCATGAACCGCATAGACAATCTGAAATTTGCAATATGAATTTATATTCTAAATTCTATGCATATCCGTTCATATTAGTCAATATTTCATTTTAAGTATTTATTTGCCATAACATTTTAGCAAAATGTAAGATAGTAAAGGCAACAGCACACCCTGCAGCCCAGTTGACAAGAACGACAAGCTGTCAAGATTAGGGATCTTTAGATCCACGAAAAGTATCTGTATCGATATGTATCGATTCTTATCGTTTTAGTAAGTATCGATTCTCTAAAATATTGGAATAAAATTATCGATAACCAGCGGAAGGAAACAAAGAAGAAAAGTAATCTGACACAGTCCGGGTCGAAAGATGACGATACTCGTGAAATATATCGATACACCCAAGTGTAGTATATAAAAATGTCGATACAAAATATCGGGTATGGGAAGCAAAAGTATATATACTTCTAAATATAGGGTTGTATCGAACATCCCTACTGTCAAGATGTATAACCCAAGGTACCGACGGAGCTATTTTGCGGCGTCATGGAAATAATTTTAAATTTCCATTTACATGTTTTCAAGTGTTGTGCAATGATTTTGGGAAAAAATCCATGTATGGTCGTATAAAGCATAGTAGAGTATATTTCAACAACAGTTGGCAGGGACCAAGGGTTGACGGATCGCACACATGTGTCCCTCGTTGGAGAGTTTTGAAATGTATCAATCAGCTGTTATTCAAATAATGTCTAATATAAATATAACCTAGAATGTGTACTCGGTGAAACAAGAAAGTTATTGCAAATTCTATTTTGTTGCAGGTTGATGCTGAATCAGTAAAATCGATTGAAGAAAATAATATAAACATGAATAAACAATCGACAATATTGAATAAAGACATGAACTTGATTAAAAAAATCAAACACTTTTTTAAATTTTGACGTAACTATATGTAATTTCTTAATATTCAATAAGCTGGTGATGTTTCAATGACAAGCTGTCATCTCATACTTTGACAGTATCTTGTTTTCAACATTTTATAGCTATTGATTGCTAAAATTTGTTGATTGGAACTTGAAGCTCACTCGCTGTATTTAACGGACTGTTACCCTATGGGTGGAGAATAACAGACTGTTGTTTTGACAATTCTGGGGAAATCCACCCTAAATATACTCGCATATACTGTGAAAAGGTTAATATCTCATATTGATGGCGATGTCTATGCGATCATGTACTAGCATATAGGTGGCTGCAGTTCCATCTATTTTTAAAACACTAAACTTTTCAAAGTAAATAGATGGACAGCAGTAACAAATTTGCATAGATGACGATACGGTAACTGATTTTATCTCGGATAGTTTTTTATATGCATTATGTATCAAAACAGTTGAATTCATGCGTGACGCGTCATTGTAGCGCTCCGCGATGTCCGCAGCCATTTTTCACTTCCCCTTTATTTTAATATTAACGTAGCACAAAATCAATAGAGAGCCAAGCTCTGAATCGGCTCGTAAAGCGCAAAACATATTCACTATTTACATTTTAAGTACCCTCCGGCTTTTAAAAAGAACAACAGCCGGCGCAGCAACGCGCCCAGCTTTTCACGAGTTTTGTAGCAGTTTTCCCGCTATGCCAGCGCATAATATAGTCGTTTGTTGTTATTTTTCAAAGAGTTTTAATGTTCAAGTTTTCTTATCAGGGGCGGAGTTCCTTATCAACAATGTAAGCTTTCCTATTAAGGATTGTAGGCTACTTCAACAAAGCTGATTCGAAATTTTATAGCGGCTATGCAACATATGAAACGTGCTAAGTACCTATAA